AACTAGGAGCTGAAGATGAGAGGTAAACTAGGAGCTGAAGATGAGAGGTAAACTAGGAGCTGAAGATGAGAGGTAAACTAGGAGCTGAAGATGAGAGGTAAACTAGGAGCTGAAGATGAGAGGTAAACTAGGAGCTGATGATGAAGAAGTAAACTAGGAGCTGAAGATGAAGAGGTAAACTAGGAGCTGATGATGAGAGGTAAACTAGGAGCTGAAGATGAAGAGGTAAACTAGGAGCTGAAGATGAGAGGTAAATTAGGAGCTGAAGATGAGAGGTAAACTAGGAGCTGAAGATGAAGAGGTAAACTAGGAGCTGATGATGAGAGGTAAACTAGGAGCTGAAGATGAGAGGTAAACTAGGAGCTGAAGATGAAGAGGTAAACTAGGAGCTGAAGATGAAGAGGTAAACTAGGAGCTGATGTTTCTCTCCTGTTTGTGTCTCAGGAGTGACTGCAGAGAAAAGCCGACACTGAGGAAGTCTCAGACTGTGATGCAGCCAAACCCAGGTGAGCAGGGTGGTCTGTCCTTCAACCTGCAGGCAGAGCTTCACACCGGGACACCCAGCCCTCCTGCTGCTGACAGCGGACAGGTGCGGGTGTCCATGACCGGGGGCTCCGGAGAGTCCAGTGGAGGCACATCCTCCAGAAGATCCAGGCTGGGCTCCCACTCCCATCCACATGGACACGGTGGGACCCAGCACCACTCCAACTCAGAGTCTGAACTGGACCCCCCTGAGTCTGATGTGGACTCTGGAGAACCCAGTGCCTCCCTGGCTGAACTCCGCTGTGTGTTCCAGTGGATCCAGAAGAGCCTTCCTTTCCTGGTCTTACTTTGTGTTAAACTGTTCATCCAACACGCTCTGGGTGAGGCGTCACACCAACACCACCACTGACACTAACCGTGTTTCCATCAAGGCTTTTTCATGCACATTTAGAGATGTCGCATTAAAAATACTAAAAAAAAAAAACTGATGGAAACAGCAAAATTAAAAAAAAACAAAAAAACCAATCACTAAAAAGTTTTTACGCTCGCTTCAGGTGATTTTTGGATTATTTGAAAAGTAGTTAATGTGAAAAACGGGAGATGGAAACACGTTTGCCAAATAAATTCTGACGTAGCGCATATT